TTAAGGCGATGTTTCTGTATAGGCCAGGCTGGCCTTAATTCATGCTCTTCCTGCCTCAACTTCTCCTTTTTTTCCTTTTTTTCTTAATTTTATTGAAAAACAAATAGCAATGAGACACTTTCAAAACCAATTAGTAGGACAGTTTCAATAATTAATACATTGCATATTGTTATCTTTGTAGGGGTGATTCATAGTACAAGAGGCAGACATGATATCCTGTCTAAACACTATTAGCACAAATCTTTTTTCTCATTGAATTAAGAGAAAGTAGCTGCATATCTATCCTATTTTGCATATACAGATAAAAAATGGTCCTTCATTTGTATCCCTTTTTTGTTTAGTTTTGTCACAGATGGGTATTCCATTGCCATTCAAATATTGTAGATGCATAAATTCAACAAAATAATCCAATAGTCACTAGTCCATAATAGGACTGTAGGACTGGCGATGTCAGAAGTTGTTGACTTGAGCCTTTTATAGCTCAGCATATTAATATGGTTTACTTTTTGTACCCTATTTTTATACTTTCCTGCTGAATGGTTAAGACCAAGATAAAGCAAGACTTATATAGCAAGAAATGTAACTTTTGTATCTGATAACGTCAGTCAAGTTCCCTCAGGATTTATCCTGTAGCTCTGTACTGCACTTTGTAGATCCTTTGTTGGTGTCAGCCATGTGGATGAGTTATGGCCATTGCTTGACCAGTTTGCTCTCTGTGAAAACATCCTGAGAGAATGTTTTCTCTCCATGTGACTCTTCTTAGGCACACTCTATCTATATCATTGATCACTTTCCTCTGTGGGCCCATAATCTTCTTGATGAGAAAATTTGGGATATAACTTTTATTTTTATTTATTCTTTTTTTTCTTCACATTCTGTGGGGATTTAAAATTTAACATATCAATATTTGATGGAAAATACCTGTTCCATGTTATGTCCAAGATGTTTGATATTCAGACAGTGAGGTTCAGCTCAACTGCCTATGTTATAGGGTAATAATATCATTAAGCTTCTCTTCTGAAGGGTTAACAACTTAAGTTTGCAGACCAAAAATTAGAGAAAAAGAAGGGCTAAGGGCTGCAAGGATAGCCAATATTTTGGCCCTAGCCTTACAGGGTCAGTGAGGATTCAGGACAAGGGAGAACCTGTACTGTAACATCCTGTAACACAGCTTCTGTGTTACAAGCATGTGCCACCACACCCAGCAATTATGTCACTTAAAAAAATACCCATACACACACATTTATAAAAGTTCAGAAGAATATAGAGAAAAATGTTAGCTATCTAAGAATAGTGGCTATCTTTGCATGTTGGGATTATAGGTCATTTAAAAAATTTTTTATTATAGATAATTTTAATTTTCTTATTTTTGTCTACTTATTTTCTAATGTGAATAAGTTAATGATTCATATATATATATATATATATATATATTTTTTTTTTTTTTTTTTAATAGGGAAAAGTTGTTTAAAAAGAGAGAAAAGGTGACTGGAAGTTGGCACACAAGGCCAGGCGTGACAATCTCTGAATGCCTCATGTGAGCATGACATATTCTCTTCATACTTTTTTAAATTGTCCTGAGAGTTGCAAACTGGTAATTAGTTGGGAGGTCACTTTCATGTTAGAATAAATCTACTTTATTCAGGCATTTTAAAGTATTATAGTTGATGTGGATATTTTTAAATGCATATTTTCAACTTGTCTCAATATGAGTACATTTTAAGCAACTATTAACCCATTTTTAAAGAACTCTAGTGGATAACATAGATGAAAATATATTTGCTTAAGCTGGCTCTAATAAGGTCGGTTCTTAAAAATATGTAAATCAAAAACAGAGCTTATGACAAGGAAAGCCAAAATAAGTCATAAGAAATATAAATACATAAATTAAGCTCTGATGAATTAAAAACATACTTCTAGCCAAAACAACAAGAAAATAATTGTTCCAAATATCAAAATACAATGTCATAAAATTTCTGTGAAATAAAGACAATATAAAATCCTGGACAAAGAATAAATTATTTATAAAGCAACAGTATACTGGGTGATTTTGCATCCGACTGGCAGTTGACATTTTAGTTTTTCAGGCTTTCTCTATTCTCACAGCATTCCTATTTACTGTTGCATTTACTGCTCACTTTAAGCCTTATCTTATTGAGAAAAATGGTGTGATATGTGACAATATAGCATTTGCAAACAACTATTGATTGCAGAGATGGAAACTAATGCTCAGACGCACTTCTTCACAAAGAGAACCCAGCAATCCCTAACAGCCGTTTAAAAGGACTAATGGAGATTTATTTTAAGACAGTTTCAAATGTTTCATACTCACAACAGTATTTCAGACATACTGGATCCCATTTCAGATTTGGCCTAAACACAAAAGAGAACACTTATTTGCATAAGCATTAAACTGTAGCTTTGTTACATTACTGTATTTTAACAATTTTCACTTAAAAGATATACAATGCATATCTCTCTTCCTTTAAAGTCCACAAAGTCTTGTTGAGGTTTTAGCCAACAAAAACAAAACTTGGACAACTTTCAGCAAAGATAATAGAAATACTTAGCTAAAAATCAGTTCAACGCTTCCAGCAGGAATGAACAACACATTAATGAACAGACTGTGTGTGTGCATGTGAGAGACACGGTCTGACTGTGTAGCTCAGGCTGGCCTTGAGCTCACTATGTAGCCCAGGCTGGCCTTGAACTCCCACAACTCTCCTGCCTCAGCCTCAAGTGCTGGGATTATATTATACCTATTAACAGATTTTTTAATACTCTGTTATGAACACTCTTTGTAGTTTTGGGGGGGCATTCTGATTAGAGTTCATTATAACATGGTGGTCCATAATTTCACAATTATGTGTGAATGATACAAAGTTCAAATCTGGATTGATCAGTATAGAGCATAAATTTAAAATATCAAACTTTCAAATGTCAATAATAATCATCCTTTTATTTACTTATTTTTATGAAATATATAATATAAATAAAAGATATCATATCTAATAGCTATATATTAAATATATATACTACATATTTAAGGAATAAAGAGATTTTTTTATATAAAAATTTAAGATCCACTGTTCATTAAAGAAAGAAAATCTGACTGATTCTGTGAAGCATCAGGAAGCCCCCACAGCTTCTTGCTCCTGAGCCCGGAGAGGTAACTATGACTTTGAATTTGGTATTCATGATTCTCCTCCTTTTGAGTTTTGTTACTTTTGAATAGATCTTTGAACAAGACTGTTGAGTATCTGCAGAGTTCAGAACTCTGTATGAACAGTACCATGAGCCATATACTCTTGAGATTCTTTTAGCAACACACAGAATACAAAGCACAAGAGAAAACCCTTGAAGAACTGTCTGTCCCACACAGCTGCTGTTGGCCTCTGTTCAGGTAGCTCTTACTGTAACTATATTGACTTTTTGCGCACTACTTCTGAGGGAACGCAAGGTCCTGTGAATTTCTTTATAGCATACTACTCCCATTGACTGAACTTGTATTTTACGAAGCACTTACAGGTAGGCCTTCAGTTTGAAAGACTAATTAGTGACATGAACACAGACCCTCAATTGGTTTTTAAAGGAGTGCTTTGGCAAGGTAAATTAACCCTCCTGAGGTTTCTTCCCTCAGCTGGTTTTCAGTGGTGTCCACTCCCTGATCGAGGGCCACATGGGTGCCCTACGTTAACAAGACTGAAGATTTTCCTCTTAATGCCTGTCATCCTGAAAAGTGTATCTGGGACATACAACAGCGCGATGCTAGGCCAAGCGGTTTTGATTTTTTTCTAAAGTATGTTCAGGGTCACATTCTGAGGGGCAAGTTACCACATAAATGACTAGGTAAAATTTCTAACTGCTGTCACTGATAACACTGTTTTCTCAATCAAGGCCCAGTCCAGAAGTTTTGCCACTTTTTTCTTAGGTTTTAAGTACACGCTTACGAGGCTGAATGTTCCATATTCTTCCCTGAGAAAGTGTGTCAGAAACCCGCGCAGAGTGGTCTGGTCGCCCCAGGTCCAGCGGGCCTGGTTGAAGTAGGAAGAGATGGGGAGGTAGAGGTAGGGCAACAAGCCAGCGGAAAAGGCCAGAGCCAGGGCCGCCATGGATCCCAGGGACAGCTCCTGTAGCAAGAGCACAGGGTTTGTTTTAGCTGATTTGTCCTGCAACTTACATGTTTGCTCAAAGCTCATCTCCCAGTTTCTATCAAGTCACTACCAAACCCTCTGTCAGTGCTTCCTCTTACTGTGGGTTACAGGAATTCTGCCAGTCTGAACTCCCTTACCTGGCAAGGGAGACAGGAGGGAAGCAAATATATTAGCAACGATGCGAGGGAATCGTGCTTATTGCCACCTTTTACATTTAAAACCATGTCACACAATGCAGAGCTGCACAGCTGAGTAAGCGCTTGGACCTGATGACGTGCTGCTGGCCTGATTTTGACTATATCCCAAACATTCTCGCACCAGTTCCCGCGTCACCGTCATTAGCAGTGAACACCAAGAGGATGCTTTGTTCGGTCATGTACTGACGCCGCCATTCCTTCTTTAAGGGCTCTGAACATTCACAGAAATGTTCGGCACAGCTAGAGCTAGCTCCTGTATAGCCTCCAGGCTCACCTAACTGTTTTCTCAAGTTACATTTAGGATGGAACACTCAAGGAAATGTACTGTTATATATAAAAGTGTTTTCTCATGTATCTTACTTAGCAGAAATGCACTTCTGAGCTATACACTGCTAAAACAAAGGACTTTATCAACAAAGTTTTGTAATGATGTAAGTCCAAAAGAATGTAAGTTGTAGTATTCCAGAAAGACTGAAACACTGCCTGCTGTAATAACTGGGGCCAGGGGGTCTCTTGCAAATATCACAACTGGATATTTCCAATTTTCTTTTATAGAAAAGAGGAATTAATCTATGTGAATGAATATCGGAGCCACAGTTCACATTCACTAAAAGCAGAACAAGCAGTGGATTTAGATTAGCATTTTCAAGTAAACACTCTTAATTGAAAGTGAAGTGTTTTTGTTGTGGCACTGATTTCATTTGAGATTTCTATAGCAGTAATGAGATGCATGAAAAGAGTGCAGGAATAGCTCCCCTAATCGTACGCCTCTGCAGACCTCCAAAGTGATTCCAAGGGAAGTTCACGCTTAGGACTTGGCGCTCAGATGCACGTGCCGCAGCACATATCCTTTGTGTGAGAAATAAGCAAGAGACAGTTCTAGAGAATGGCAGAGTGAGGGGAGTGGCCCTGAGCCCAGCGCACGGTGGAGGCACCTGGGGAGTGAAAGGGATGCCAGACAAACTGGTGCTTGGGGCTCAGCCCGATCTGTTATGCCAGGATCATGTGGGGATGGGGACAAGCTGCAGCACAAATACACATACGTAGCTATGCATGGACATGTATGGAAACACGTGGGTACACGTGTCCACACCCTTCTTTTAAAAGCCTCCTAGATGACAAAGTGAGCAGCCAGGATGGAGACTAACCAACTCAGGACTCCCTGCCCTGAAGTCACCTCACAATGAGATCCAGCAGCCTGAAGACCTCACTGCTAACCTTATGTCCTAGCCGCTGCTATCTAATATGGACCTGAAGGAGGTATGCAGAAGAGTCCTAGTTCCCCAAATGTCATCATTTCTCCATAGCTTACCTCCATCCTGGGCAAATGGGCCCCTAAACCATCAACCCCGAGTTCCGCATGTTCTACACAAAGTGTTGGCAACACAGAGCATCTCTGTTTTGGGGGTCCTTCCAGAGGATGCCCCTCTCTAATGTCCACTCAGGTTGGAACTTGGGGGGATGTATGCCATGCTGCCTGGTCACCTGCCTCTGTGCATCTGCTGATCCACGAGAACTTACTTGGGATTGCTTGCTCTGTACTCCATAAAGTCTTTATGTTATGAAAGATCATCTAAAGAACTTTCTCCATACATTAGAATACCTGAATCCCACCTGCTAGGGCGTGTAACATCCTGATGAATCATGTAAGACCACCTTCAGAGTTCAATTCAATTCCAAGAAAGAGTTGCTCTTTTCTGTCAATGCTTATGTTACCCTTTTATTTACTCTTTATTTATATAACAAGAATTTTATAATCATGTTATCCTTTATGCTTTGTTGCCATGATGCTAAGAAATAAATTGTGTTCCTGTACTGGAAATTCAACCACAATGTATGAGAAAAGTGCAGTGAATATAAAGGACACACTGACATTAACGACCCCTCCCCTCTGACTCCCCTTCTCCCATCATACACTCTTCTCCCTGTTCTTGCCCCTTTCTGAGGGGACATCGTTTGCATGAGTGTCCTCTGTTGTGCTCTTACGAAAACCTGAGTCAGTCCAATCTCTGACCTCTCATGGTCATTCGGACCAGGGGGACAGCTGCAAGTCACACGGTGACAGCTCTGACGTATACAGCAGCTGACGACATACTGTGAGGCTTTTGAAACCCGCCTTTCCATGTGATAGCAGCAGCAGCAGCAGCAGCAGCAGCAGCAGCAGCAGCAGCAGCAGCAGCAGCATTCACTGTATTTTTAATCACCTCTGGTAACGACACAAAATAGGACTTGAGGAGCTGCTTCAGAGGGCGGCAAGAAGGACAGGAAAGGTGTGTTCAAGGTGAGGGGGAGAATTCCGGGGAGGATTACTGGCAGTGTGTCCTGAGTGTAGTAAATTTCTTTATTTAAACATTCATTGTATGTTTTGATCACCCCTTGCATCTGAAGTTTAGGTAGAATTACTTTCTTATTTCTGTATTTGAATTTTATTCTACTTAGTATGTGTTTTATACCATAATTCTGATTATAGCTAGGTACAATGAGCAAATAAGACGACTGATAAGTGCAGTTCTCTCTCCACAAAAAATAAGTCAAAGATGTCCACACTGGTGCTCACAGAGGCTCACCCTAAGGAGGAAGCGTAACAGAAAAAGGGCACTTGTGCTCGCAGCATTCACCCCCATCCCACCTCCTGCCTTTCCCTAGCCCAAATCTCCCAGTGCCTGACAAAGTGATTTCCCTATTGTGCTTCTTACTGCCATCGTAATTAACATAATTTTTCTTTCAGAGAAAGATGAAATGAAGATAAATCATTTTTAGTTCTAGGGAAACATATTTTAAGAACACAGTTACTTTTCAGAAATTTTACTGAGTTCACAGGGGCAGAGACGTCTGCAGTTTGTTGAGAGCTAAATCTCTAAGCACACGGTGCGAGTACGGTGCACAAGGTGGCCTGCAGTGTGCCGTGAAAGAGTAGGGGACGCTTCCTGGCACCCACACGTGTCCTCCGATGTGTCAGGAGGCCGGAGGGAAATGCAGTGGCCTTTGAGCTGATTTTCATTGAGGTGCTGTTCTGAATCATGGAGAAAATCACAAACTAGGCCAGATGCCACTGCAATCAATATTGCATATTTTTTTTTTAGCCAATACTGTTAAGGCCAAAGGCTGTTTATTCTTTACCTAAAACTCATGAAAAATTAAAGCTCCAGGTTTTCTGGCACCATAAATAGTGTACTTTACTTAAATGAAATATGATATATTTTTATTTTGATAAATTTTGAAACCTACCTTCTCTTTTAAAAGGCGAAAGAGAATCCAAGGTATTATGCATAAAACATAAATTACTATTGTGTGCTGATTACATAAACTAAGGCCGCAGCAAAAAGCACCAATTTTAGCTATCTGAAAATAAGTAGGAAAAAAAACTGAGTTAGAAATTCATCAAAATCTCTAGCACAAAAAGCTACTTTTACTATTTAAACCAAACATTTTGAATCAGCATTCAGGATAAAACAGGCGGTCGTTATACTTCATCAGTCACTAATACTTACCACTATGACTTTCTGAGAGAAGGTCTGGCCATGTTCTGCAGGCCAGCCTCAAACTCATGACCCCGCCTCAGCATCCTGGGTGCTGGGATTATGCGTCGTGCTCCACCCACCACACCCAGTTTCATCACCATAGATTTTGTTAATGCTTCCCATTTTCATGAAGCACTTGCAGTTTGACCATCTTCCAACTGACTATCCAGTGCTAACAGTAACAAGGTATTGTGTAATTTATTTTATGTTTAATTTTAACTTCTTAGCACCTGTGTGCCATGTATGATGTCTCCATTCTCAGTCTGCAGTTGGTTCGTGTACTCCACCCATTTTCGTTCCTTTTCTACTCTACCCTTCCCTCCCCTCTCCATCCACCTTCGGCACCCTTCCTTATATTGTACTTAGAAACCTGGGCGGTACCCTTGCCTTTCCGACATGTGTTCCTTTCCCAGTTGACAGAGGCTCTGCTGGACCAAACTCAGGCGGCTCCTCCTCAACTCGGCCCTCACACGGGGTGTCCCATCATGTGATGTTCACTTTCAGCAAAAGCTCTGCGAAGTCTGCTCAGCCAGAGCCCTCACCTCATCGGGGCATCCAGACGAGCATCTGAGCTCGTGCCTCTTCCTGCGTTCCACCCCGTGGCCACCCTGGCCCTGCTGCCAGCAGGAACACTGTCAGGTCAGAAGAGCCAGGTTCCCTTCACCCTGCCGCCTGCCCTCGGGAATTCTCCGTCCACTGACCCAGCCTGTGTCTTGGCTATCAGCTCCACTTTTCTTGTACATAGAACTGAGCCTGATCTCTCTCCCACAGGACAAAACCCCACTGCAGTTATCCCTAAGCCTAATGCTGCAGCAAGTGTGTCCACCATTCTTTACCAAGTGCATTAAATAACTCTCTTTAACACAAGGAAAAGATTATTTTACACAAAATCTTTAAGAGCATCATGGACCTGTTCAAGGGAACAACGGTAAGTCAGACTGTTCCATGGTTCCTACGATCTCTGGGAACACAAGGTGCCCCCACACTGAGATAACTGAGCAGTTCTGAACATGCAGGTGCCAGGCTCACGAAGACGCCAGCGATTTTTCTATTTGTGTAAAGAAAGCCAGTGCACACTACCTTTACAGAACGCTGGATTTCTTTGTAGTCTTGGTAACAGTTTAATCTCTTCTGAGCTACTTTTTACATTTATACTTTCAGTTTAAGCAAATATAAATTTGATCATTTTTACAATCAATGTGTTTATCAATGAACCATAATGATTTACAGTTTAAGGTGGTTGGTTTAACTACAGCCTGGCACTTTACAATCTCTCTCTCTCTCTCTCTCTCTCT